CATCTTCAGTTGAAAGGATCAGGCACTAATGTGAAAGATCCTGATCTAAAATGCGGGACAGCCACTGCAGTCTGAATATACAATACTGACACTTTTTTAAAAAATATATATATTTTTATTGGGTTTTTTAAACATGTACATACCCACCACCTATACACCACAAATACATCATAAATGCATACTCCAAGCAGTAACATAGCTAATTTCTCTCCAATACAATTTTGGTACTACATATAAATTCATTTTTTCCATTAATCCATATATCTTAATAATAATTCATAAGTCAACAATAGTATCTAGTTTCTCTAGTTAGGCAAGTCTTTACGTCTACCTCTTCCCATTTAAACCAAAATATTGGTCTACTCTACCAAATACATCTGTTGCTTTTTTCTTTTCTTTTTTAAGTACACCTTCAGATTTTCCTTCCTTAACTTTATCTGGCCTAAACATTTTTTTCAACATTATACACCTTATTTGCTTATCCAAACAGTCCTGTATCTTGATATTTTCCAACAAACATCCTAATTAATTACTCACTTCATACAAAATTTACTTATTTACTACCTCTAGGCCCTATTCTACTTCCCCCCATCACAACTTCCCTTTCATCCCAAGAGGAAAAAAAACAAAACAAGACAGAACAGGATTATATCCTCCTCCTGTTACTCCCACAAAAACCATCACCAAGTTACTACATTTAACTATTTCTTACTAACAATTTTTAATCCCAGTTTCCCTTTTAAACAAACAGCTATAGAATAGTCATTTGCTTTCACCTAGAACTTGACTTATGCACAAAAAAGAAACAGAAAACACAAAACATACCTAGAAGTTTCTTTTGGTATATCCCAAGGTAATAGCCTTCAAATTATATCATTTAACTATTTCCTACTAGCAACTATATTCATTTACTATTGATGTTCTTAGATATTTAAATACAAAAACAAGGCAAAACAGGATTATATCTTCCTCCTACTACTTCCACATAAGCAATCATTAAGTCACTTCCTTTAACTATTTCTTGCTAACAACTTATACTCCCATTTCCCCTGTTAAACAAATAGTTATAGAGTACATTTCATCCTTTAGTCTTTATTTCCACCTACCGCTTAACTTATACCTAAGCAGCAAAAAACACAAAACAAATCTATAGGTTTCTCCTAGTATATCCCAAGTAAGAACCTTCCAATTATTTCATTTATGTATTCCCTACTAAGAACTGATTAAGTCCACATGGCCAGTGCTTTTCATATTGTTCTTTTGCACCTTTGCCATCGCTGGTTGTGATGTCTCTTGTATCGCACTTCCCTTGCATGTCTCCAGTTCTTTCTCCCTATTCTGTCCGTCGCTTGTCAAATCTTCTTCATTTTCAATGCTCAGACGTAGACTTGATAGCTTTTCTAGTATATTGTCAAACGCTTGTTCCATCCCCCTCCGTATTCCTTCACAAATCCTTTTCTTTAATGTTTCCCAGAACTGCTTCCCTGCAAACTTTCCTCCTTCTGCGTCTTCATCTTTCTCCTCCCCGTAGTTACTCTTTAAAGACGCCATTTTTACTCAGATACTTCTTTTTATTTATTCCGCCAAAAAAAAAAGTCAGTTCACTTCAAACAAATCGCTTTTCTACTAAATACATATTAGTCCTTGCCCACATACGTTTTCCTCTCCCCATCAAAGAAAAAACCGTCCGCTATTCAGCCCGTAGTTAATTTCCTTGGCCGCTTCTCTCCTCTGTTCTGGGCAAATGCCCTGGGGTTATCTTAAAACAACAATAGACTTGTAGCCGTACTCACTTTACTTCAGTTCTTATGTTACTGCTGCCGCTTATCCATATAGTTAAGATAAAAACAAAACAGCTGGCTGCATCTCGTGGAACATGGGAGCCATGTTCCTCCTTGCAATCGTCTCGGTTTCAGGGCTGTTCTGGGCACCTCCCCCGCCCTGCCAATTGCAGGGGGAGGGCCAGAAAGACGCCCCCTACTCCAGCTCCCACTCTTAGGGTGCTAGTCGGGCTCTCCTGTCGAAAACGGGAGGCTCGAACGAGACGAAAGAGGTTCAAGCAGGGACGGAGCACTCGAGGCTCCCACCCGCTCGTCGATGCGCCGTCGCTCCTCTCGAATATACAATACTGACACTGATGGTCTGATTCAGACTAAGGCAGCTTCATGTATTCATGGCAAGGCAGGTAGAGACGGGCTGGGGCACACAACTGCCCATACACTTTGCATTCTCTGTTGTGGTCTCCACCTAATGGAATGGCCTACCTGAGGACAGGAAGGCCCCCACTCTCCTGGGGGTCCACAAACTATGCAAAACTGAATTATTCAGGAGGGTTTTTTTTAATAGATAATAGAGCTGTACTTTAACTACATGGTTCAGGTGCTTTAATAAAGGGATACGGACTGTAGACTGTACTACTGTGTACTGTCTATTACTGTAAGTATGGTCCTGCTATGTATTTTCTACATCTTTTAACATGTAATGCTTACGTGCTTATGCTTTATTTCAGATTTCTGCTTGTTTTCAGACTTCTGCCATCCAAATACTATTGCATTGTTCCCTGGATGTCCCATCCTGTTGATCATTTTGACTTATACTGTAATATCTGCCTTGAGTCTCAGTGAGAAAGGAAGACTATAAATAAATAAAATAAAAAATGTGGGAAAGAGACTCATCGCGCTTAAGCAGCTTGGCCTCATTCACTGAGAAGAAAAAGTTACAAGCATTTGGAAGGGTAGAGAGAAGATGGTATCTAGAAAGCCAGCATATCTGTTAGGGAGGTGAATTCAGCTCACTGTCTACCAGATGCCAATCCCAACAGTAAGTAAACTCAGATTACAGCAGGGTCAGGCCTATGCCATCTCAGAAGAAGACTGTAATGCTGTTTTAGAAATAACTTTATTATTTTGAGCCACTCATGCAATTTAAATGAACCTTTTGCAAAGCCATTTTTTTGTTTTTACTGTACAGCACTGCATAAAATTTATTTTGTTAGCTAGCATTAAATTAGGCTGCTTGTTTCTTTACATAGTGAAACATCCATTAAAACCCTCACCTGCAAGTGAGATCAAATTGGTCAAGAAAAGTAGAAAAAAATGTTAGCTCTGTTTTCTGTCTTGTATAAATGTATTATAGAACACCATATTCCACATATTCCTCAATGAGATCAATTGCCCTGAAGTATTTCATATCCCTCCCAATAATTGTGGTTTTTAAAATAAATTGCAGTGTGTACTGTAATAGTGCTGCTGTGCGTCATTTTTTAAAAACTCAGTTGCATATACATGATGAAGTAAAAAACATACATACATGGTATTCTCTCATATTTTCTCCCCATTTTTACTGCTGTTCTATTCTTGTACTTTTAAAAAGTAATACTTTATAAAATGCTGGTTTTGTGTATGTGCTGCAGCTGATGCCATACTCAAAGCAAACCCACATTTTAAACTTGTAGCCCTCGACAAGTATGTATGTATTTATTTATTTCATTATATTTATATCCCACCCTCTATGAAGCCAATCCCCACCCCAGCTGGAAAGCTTGGAGGAAGCAGGAAGCTGACATCTATACTACCAGGTAGGTTACACAGGGAACAACCTTGTTGCAAAGTTAGCAGGAATGCCCTAAATACTATCCTGAGAAAATAAAGCTATACCAGAGCAGGAAAAGAGAAACAGGAGCTGTTGATAAAAGTAAAAGAAAGGGAGAGGCTCAAGAGGAACCCCTGAAGCTGTGGCCTGAAGGGGGAGGTGGTGAAGGACAGAGGCTCCTTGCCACATCCTTTCTTTCCATCTGAGACTACAGAGAACTGTTGTGAGAGCCAGACAGTAGCCATGAACCCTCTCTGCATCCTTCTCAAGCACAGTGAGCGTAGCTGGTGTTGCCAGAGGAAACGTATCATGGTGGGAGAAATGCAGAAGCCTCAAGTTAGGGTATTCAGCACCACAAAAAGAACTGGAGAATAGGGAAGGGCCATTGTTTTAAACTCTCCAGTCTTATGAACAGATTAAAATGTAGATATGCAGGAAATATCCCACAACTCTGCAACACTTTCCCTATGAAGAAAGGTTAAAGCGCTTGGGGCTCTTTACTTGGAGAAACGACGGCTGAGGGGTGACATGATCGAGGTTTATAAGATTATGCATAGGACAGAGAAGGTAGAGAAAGAGGTACTTTTCTCCCTTTCTCACAAGAACTCGTGGGTACTCAATGAAATTGCTGAGCGGTCAGGTTAGAACAGATAAAAGGAAGTACTTCTTCACCCAAAGAGTGATTAACACATGGAATTCACTGCCACAGGAAGTGGTGGAGGCTACAAGCATGGACAGCTTCAAGAGGGAATTAGATAAACACAAGGGGGAGACCCGCGATACTCGCGGGGGGGCAGTCTCTCTCTTTCCCCCGTTCTCTCTTCCCCCCCATCTCTCTCTCTCTCTCTCTCTCTTTTTCCCCGTGTACCGAGGCCCTCGGCAGTCTCTCTTCCCCTCCCCGACTTTCTTCCCCCTCCTCACTTGTGTCTCGCCGCCGCTGCTGGGCCTCTCCTGGAGCAGGAGGAGAGCGGCCGCTTTCGCTTTCTGCGGCTGGCCAGCGAGATGGGAGGGACGCCTCGACGCTGCTCCTTGGATCTCCTGTGCTGTGGCTGCTGCTGCTGGAGGCGAAGGTGGGCGAGCGGGAGAGCGCCGTGGGATCCCCCCGATATTTTTTTTTAGTTTTCAGATTTTTGTGCACCCCTGGGGACTGCCCCAAGAGTGCACAAACCTCTCCCTGCCCCCCAAGTGCCCCCGAAGTGCAGATATAGATATCCGCACAGACGGGGGCACTTCACTATTAGATATATAGATATGGAGCAGAGGTCCATCAGTGGCTATTAGCCACAAGGCTGGGGCAAGTGATGCACTGTATTCTTGGTGCTTGGGGGGGGGCAACAGTGGGAGAGCTTCTAGTGTCCTGGCCCCACTGCTGGACCTGGTATTTTTGGCAACTGTGTGACAGAATGTTGGATTGGATGGGTCATTGGCCTGATCCAGCATTGGCTTCTCTTATGTTCTTATGTTCTCTTAACATCAGTCAAGGAGCCGAAGACCTGTGATCTGGAGACCCAGACCCTGCTCTGCAACTTGTTCTGGTGCATATCTAATCTAGTACATGCCATATTTCATATCTGTTTCAACTGAATGAAACAAAGTAATTACTCATAAAATCCTCCTATGGGTCTGTGTATTTTTGGAAGTCTTTGGCTCACAAAGACAAGATTTCAGTGAAGACTACGAGTTGATTCCCATTAACTGCCAGACAGAGTTCTTTTCTGCATGTTCGCCTTCTTGTACAGAGCTGCTGGTGGTGGTCACAGTACTTGCATGTAGAAAAAGCAGCCTTGGAGCACCATGAGTGGGGGGATTGGGGGGGCATTCCAGGGGTGGGCGGAGATGTCCCCATGCCCCGCCTCCAAGAACGACAAGCTTCAGCTGATCAGCAGGGACCATGTAGCCCGCCAACCAGCTGGAGGGCCCTTTAAATCTAGCAGGAGGGAGAGAAAGAGGCAGTGGCAGGCCGCATGCTCACTCACAAAAAGATGGCCAGGCAGATGGTCGCTCTTGAGGGTGGGGCTTCCCTGCAGGCCATCTGGCCAGGGTAGATTGAAGCCCCCAGAAGCAGGGGAACCCCCAACTGTACCTGGGGGTTGGCAACCCTAACCCAATAGGGCTTAAATGAATTCAGAGGAGTGTATCATAGACCATTGGTTAACTGTAACCAACCACAAGGAATGTCTACAAATTTATTTCTAAGTATTTTCATGCTACCTCCAAGACTTGTAGAGCTGTATCTTCAGTCTCTATAAACTGCTTTAAGATTTTAAGTGAAATGAAGAGAGGGAAAAAGAAGTCTGGTGTGAGATCTTTTTAAGGCAGTCATTTTACCCATGCTAGGCATATATGACTAAGACTAATATACAGTCAACATTCTGTTTTACTAACAGAATATCTCCTTTAGTATTAAAAGAACATGCATACCACCTGCACATCCTACAAATGTAGGTTTCCATCAGAAGTTGTAGCCCAACTTCTTAAATAACCATGATTCTAAGCAAGTAGACAAAAGCCTAACTCTGTACCTATCACTTACTAAGAGATCACTGCACAATTACACTTTTTCCTTTGTTCTACAAGAATTATGTCAGTGCTTCAAACATATGAAAGCACCAATTCAGAATCCTGACCTTGTTGTTAGCACAGGGTTTTTAATTAGGTGACAAAGAAGGCAGAAGGATATGAAAGATAAAAGTTTTAAGTATTTTTTATGAATCTTGCAAAAATACCTCTTAAAATAAACATTATTCGCTCCAAATATTAACCGGATACTTCAGAGCAGCTCCAAAACATTTTCTACAAGTCTATTTTTATGTCTCCTTTCTTGATATGGCAAGAGAGTATATAGAGTATGGTGCATGTATACTACCAATAAAATGTATCCATGGTGCTGTATACTACCAATAAAGAAGCTCAGTACAATACATGGTGGTAACTAAGATGAAAACAGCACTCTTATTGGTCGATGCCATTTGTCTCTAGGCTCAGCATCTCAGTCTTTTCTGATGCTCTACCACTCTGTGCTGGAGGAGGTTTTTCTGTGCTGCCACTGCTGCTAGCACCAAGTTCTATAGCTTCTGCCCAAGTATTTGTCAGTGGTTTTCCAAGAGTTTCTGGCAGCATCAATGTTAATAATCCGCTCACAAAGGCCACAATTCCAACAATCATCTAAAAGAAAAAAGAGTTCATGAAAGCAATGGATGTTAAGTGCAAAAAGAAAAGGAGAGTGATTGGGTTGTTTCTCTGCTGTGATGTACTCTGGTTTTGATGCTGCCTGATTCCTTCATCTCTTGTTGCTTTTTAGAAAGTTAAATTTAAGGTGGTGGATCTTACTATATTTTGGGAGGTAACGATTGATTGCCCTGACCTGGAGAGCCCATGCTAGCCTGGTCTTGTCAGATCTCAGAAACTAAGCAGGGTTGGCCCTGGCTCGTAAATGGATGGGAGACCACCAAGGAATACCAGGGTTGCGACACGGAGGCAGGCAATGGCAAAACCACCTCTGAACATCTCTTGCCTTGAGAACCATATGGGGTCACCATAAGTCAGCTTGACGGCACTTTTTACCAGCAGTAATTCTTTGCTGCTGGGTCTTTTTATTACTGATTGCTATTTATTGTTTTTATTATTTTGTTGTTTCAAATTTATTAACTTTGTTGTAAGATGTTCAGAGTGCTTCTGAATAGAAGAGGGGGGTATACATTTTATAAATAAATAAAGACACTGAGCACAGGTCTTTCCTAGCACTTTTAGCTACACACTACAGGGACTGACTCTAGATATTCTATACCCAGAATATAACTCTGAACTAGAACCCCTTTCTTTAAGAATCTCCTGTTCACTTGAGCATCTTCCTCCGTGCTTTGTTCATTTGTGCTGGTGATTAAAAATTAGTAACGTCGCATATTCTCAAATACTCTGGTGAACTTTTGACAAATGCACACCACTAACTTAACTAAAATGTAAACCAAAAAGGAAGAAAGAAGGGCTGATTTCGCACTAGAGCTGCCTCGATGTTGCGCCGCTGTTTGCCCCGATGTTGTTGTTGTTCAGTCGCACAGTCGAGTCCGACTCTTCGCGACCCCATGGACAATCTCCCGCCAGGCTCTCCTGTCTTCCGCCGTCCTCCGAAGTTGGCTCAATTTCATGTTCGTTGCATCGCTGACACTGTCTAACCATCTCATCCTTTGCCGTCCCCGTCTTCTTTGACCTTCAATCTTTCCCAGCATCAGGGTCTTTTCCAGTGAGTGCTCCCTTCTCATTTGGTGGCCAAAGTATTTGAGCTTCAGTTTCATTATCTGGCCTTCCAGGGAACAGTCAGGGTTGATTTCTTTGAGGATTGACTGATTTGTTCTTCTTGCAGTCCAAGGGACTCTCAAGAGTCTTCTCCAGCACCATAGTTCAAAAGAATCTATTCTTCGGCGCTCGGCCTTCCTTATAGTCCAACTCTCACAGCCATACATGACTACTGGGAATACCATTGCTTTGACCATGCGGACTTTTGTTGGCAGGGTGATGTCTCTACTTTTTATCATGCTGTTTAGGTTCGCCATCGCTTTCCTCCCAAGGAGCAGGCGTCTTTTAATTTCATGGCTGCAGTCACAGTCTGCGGTGATCTGGGATCCCAGGAACGTGAAGTCTGTCACTACTTCCACGACTTCCCCTTCTATTTGCCAAGGAGTGATGGGGCCGGATGCCATGATCTTAGTTTTTTTGATGTTGAGCTTCAAGCCCACTTTTGCGCTCTCCTCTTTTACTCTGAGCAAGAGGCTCTTTAGATCCTTTTCACTTTCAGCCATTAGAGTGGTATCATCTGCATATCTGAGGTTGTTGATCTTTTCCCCAGCAATCTTAATTCCCGCTTGTGATTCATCCAGGCCAATTTCACACTTGAAGCCTGACAGGGCTGCATTTGACCCGCGGCTTCGCCCAATTTCCTCCGCACTTTTGTGATCATCAAAAAACAGGATCACGAAACTGCGGGGGGAATCGGGCGAAGCCACGAGTCAAAATGCAGCCCCGCAGCTTCGGGTGTGAAATTGACCAATAGTATCGGGGCAAACAGTGGCGCAACATCGAGGCAGCTCTAGTGCGAAATCAGCCAAGGTAATTGCATTGCTGGATCAACCATCTAGTTTATAATTTTTGAGATACAGACCACGGGGGCTCTTTATGAGGGAGAAACTACATATGCCTTGGGGATCTCCCTCTCCTCAAAGAACTGTGATCAGATTTTATAAGGGGGGGGGGGGAGAAAGGCACCATTTTGTACTTACCTTTTTTTTAGAATGTGGCTATTATCAGCTGGGGGGGGAATCTCTTGGGGAAATGAAGCAAGTGGAGAGATTTCATGTGGTCCAGAACCATAGAAACAATACAGATTGGGGTCCCACAGTTGCTTTTTGAAGCAAAATGAGATGTCGGGATGAGTGTTCCCTCTAAGCTGAGTTAGTGTGAGCTAGCTCACAGTCTTTTAGCCTCCGGCTCACACATTTTTGTCTTAGCTCAGGAAGGATGGCTCCAGAGCAAACTAATTTATGCAGTAGCCAAATTGCTCGCTCACAACTTTAATGCCAGTAGCTCACAAAGTAGAATTTTTGCTCACATGACTTCACAGCTTAGAGGAAGCATTGGTCGGGATCCCCCAGTATTATATGTAGTTTGGTCCCAAGTGGAAAAGCGGAACAGACATTTTCCAAGCACATAAATAATAATATTCCCAACAGGAATCTGCCAAATGCTTCACTTTTTATTTATTCCCAGCAGTCTGATAAAGATATACTGCTTCTGATGGTGGAGGTTCTATTTAGCTATCATGAAAAACAGCCATTTACAAATATGAATTTGTCTAATCCTTTCTTAAAGCCACAAATAGGTCAACTATTCGTGTAAGGTCTCAGTGTTCTATTGTAGATTAGATATCCCTGATTTCAGAGAGAAAGAGAGAGAGAATAAACATGGGACATGGAAGTATCTCGTAGTATTCATTTGCTGGGGGGGGGGATCACCAAAGAGAAACAAGAATAAATATCTAGTGGTGGAAATAATGTGCATGTGTGAAAATGCACACATTTAGAGTTATTTCAAGCATCCAGGACTGAAGCAAGTGTTGCCAAAACACTTTCAAATTAACCTTGCCATAAGGGCTAGAAACTTCTGTACTTGTACAGTGTGATCATTGAGCTGAGCAATATATACAGGTAAGTGGTGGGGTTCAGTGGCCGAATACCTGTTATGTATGCAAATGGTCCAAGGTTCAGTTCCTGACATCCCCAGTTAAAGGATTTCAGGTGTTGGGAAAGACTTGAGACCCAGGAGAGCCACTGCAAGTCATCGCAGAAAACAGTGAACTAGATGAACCCATGATGTGATGACTTGACACAAGGCAGCTGTGTGTGCAAATCTCCACCAGACTTGCACATTTGAATAAAGAATTATAGATGGACCTGCCTGCAATGAGCCAAAGTAGTTCACAAAGAAAAAAAATTATAAACCGTATAGGCTGCAAGCTAGAGATGGGTAATAGGAGTACGTTGCACTGTTCCTGCAAGCACACACAGCTGTTCCTGTACCTGTCCACCTCCAGACCAGGTGGTTGCCGCAGTCAGGCTTGACAAGCCTAATGGACACTTACCTGTGGCATAAAAATCCAGACACTTGACAGATAGACACAGAAAGGTGCCACCACACTTCCTACACGGCACATCATGCTCCCACTTCCAACAGCAAGGGACCTGAGCAGTAGACAGAACACTTGTTTTAAACAGAGACTGCTATCTTTTCCCAGAGCTTTAACTGTAAGGAAAAATATGGTCATCTTACCTGACAACTGTAGGATAAAGCTCTGCTGTATACAGGTAAATTAGGCCAAATGCAACACCTATTGTAAACTTCCCAACCATATTTGCTATGATATTTAATATTCTGAAATCCTGTTAAGAGAAAACAGACTTTATCAAGCAATTCCACACACCCCAGCCCCCCCCCCCCGTATTTTTAAGAATTCAGATCATAAGCATGGTTAGTCTTTAAACACTATGAAATCTGATTACATAGTTAACAGTTCAAAATAGATGATGTTTTATTTTATTAGCCCTGAGTTCAAGCCCTGTATTTAATCATGGAAGGATGACATTTTTCATAAAGGTTTTAGAATTAGCATTGTGAAGCCAAAGGCTCCAGCTTTATTTATTAAGTTCCAACTAACAATGCAATGTCACCCTCTGGAAAGTATGAGAGAGGTGAGGGGGTACCGGTTGCTTTTCTACAGGGAGGTGGATTGAAATTGTCCACAGAGGCCATGGCTGGTGACATGGACTGCCGGACAACGACTCGAGATAGCAAGAGGAAGGATGCAGGCTTAACTTGTAAGGGAAATTACAGCTGTTTCTATACAAATGCTAGAAGTGTCCGAGATAAAATCGGGGAGTTGGAGTGCTTGGTGTCGGAGGGAAAAATAGACATTGTGGGTATTTCTGAAACTTGGTGGGATGAGGAAAATCAGTGGGACACAGTGATTCCCGGTTATATATTATATCGGAAGGATAGGGGGGGAAGGGTTGGAGGTGGGGTAGCTCTGTATGTCAGAGAGGGTATAAAGTCTAGAAAGATTGAGAGGCTAAATGAATTGGATTCGCTTCTGGAAGTTCTATGGGTTGAAATAGGGGGGCCAAAAGGAAACTTAACACTGGGAGTTTGTTATCGCCCACCAGATCAAAAGATAGAGGAGGATTATAAAATGATGAATGCCTTAAAGATAGCAACTAGACAAAAACACTGTGTAATAATAGGTGATTTTAACTACCCACACACTGATTGGGTCAATATGTGTTCTAGTCGGGAAAAAGAGATTGAGTTTCTAGACACTCTAAATGACTGTGCTATGGAGCAGATGGTCACGGAACCTACCAGGGGAGAGGCGATCCTTGATTTGGTCCTAAGTAACACTCAAGACCTGGTGAGAGATGTAAAAGTGATTGCACCGCTTGGAAACAGTGATCATAATGTTGTTGAGTTCATCATTTGTACAAATAGAGAATTGGCCAAAAAGACTCACACAACCATTTTTAACTTTAAAAGGGGTAATTTCTCTGATATGAGGGGACACGTGGGGAGGAAACTGAAAGGAAAAGTAGAAAGGGTCAAAACAATTGGGGAAGCTTGGGATCTATTTAAAACTACGATCCTAGAAGCTCAAAAAATATATATTCCGCAGGTTAGGAAAGGCACAAAAAGGTATAGGAAAAAGCCTGCATGGTTAACAAACAGAGTAATGGAGGCTGTAAAAAGTAAAAAGAATTCCTTTAAGCAGTGGAAAGCTAGTCACAGTGAGGCTGATAAAACGGAACACAGGCTATGGCAAATAAAATGCAAGTCTGAGGTCAGGCAGGCAAAAAGGGAATATGAGGAGCATATAGCAAAAAACGTAAAAACCAACAATAAAACTTTCTTCAAATACATTAGAAACAGGAAACCAGCCAGGGAGGCAGTGGGGCCCTTGGACGACCAAGGGGTAAAAGGAGTATTGAAGGATGATAGGGAAATGGCTGAGAAGCTAAATGCATTTTTTGCCTCCGTCTTCACTGTGGAAGATGAGAAGTGCTTGCCCACTCCAGAACCACTGATTTCAGGAGGGGTGTTGAAAGACCTGAGTCAGATTGAGGTGACGAGAGAGGAGGTCCTAAAACTGATAGACAACTTAAAAACTGAAAAATCACCAGGCCCAGATGGCATACATCCGAGAGTTCTGAAAGAACTCAAATGTGAACTTGTAGATCTCCTGACAAAGATATGTAATCTTTCCTTAAAATCTGCCTCCATTCCTGAGGATTGGAAGGTAGCTAATGTCACTCCCATCTTTAAAAAGGGTTCCAGAGGAGATCCGGGAAATTACAGGCCAGTCAGTCTGACGTCGATACCGGGTAAATTGGTGGAAACCATTATTAAGGAAAGAATTAGTAGGCACATAGATGAACAAAACCTATTGAGGCAGACTCAGCACGGTTTCTGTAAGGGAAGATCTTGTCTCACTAACCTGTTAGTGTTCTTTGAGGGGGTGAACAAACATGTGGACAAGGGGGATCCAATAGATATTATTTACCTTGACTTCCAGAAAGCTTTTGATAAAGTTCCTCATCAAAGGCTCCTAAGTAAGCTCAAAAATCATGGGATAGAAGGACAAGTCCTTTTATGGATCAAAAACTGGCTAGTTCATAGAAAACAGAGAGTGAGTGTAGGTGGGCAATTTTCTCAGTGGAGGGTGGTAAGCAGTGGGGTACCGCAGGGATCAGTACTTGGTCCACTGCTTTTTAACTTGTTCATTAATGATTTGGAGATGGGAGTAAGCAGTGAAGTGGCTAAATTTGCGGATGATACAAAGTTGTTCAGGGTGGTGAAAACCAGTGAGGATTGTGAGGCACTCCAAGGGGATCTGTCAAGGATGGGCGAGTGGGCGTCAACATGGCAAATGGGGTTCAATGTGGCCAAGTGCAAGGTGATGCACATTGGAGCCAAAAATCCTAAATATAAATACACATTGATGGGGTCTGAACTGGCAGAGACTGAGCAAGAGAGAGATCTTGGAGTTGTAGTGGATAACTCACTGAAAATGTCGAGACAGTGTGTGACTGCAATAAAGAAGGCCAATGCTATGCTGGGGATTATTAGGAAGGGTATTGAAAACAGATCAGCCAATATAATAATGCCCCTATATAAATCAATGGTGAGACCTCATTTGGAATACTGTGTGCAGTTCTGGGCACCACACCTTAAAAAGGATATTATAGCTTTGGAAAAAGTGCAGAAAAGGGCAACTCGAATGATAAAAGGGTTGGAACACTTTCCCTATGAGGAAAGGTTAAAGCGCTTAGGGCTCTTTAGCTTGGAGAAAAGACGACTGAGGGGTGACATGATCGAGGTTTATAAGATTATGCATGGGAAAGAGCAGGTAAAGAAAGAGGTACTTTTCTCCCTTTCTCACAATACAAGAACTCGTGGGCACTCCATGAAACTGCAGAGCGGTCGGGTTAGAACGGATAAAAGGAAGTACTTCTTCACCCAAAGAGTGATTAACACATGGAATTCACTGCCACAGGAAGTGGTGGGTGCTACAAGCATGGACGGCTTCAAAAGGGAATTAGATAAGCATATGGAGCAGAGGTCCATCAGTGGCTATTAGCCACAAGGTATAGCTAGGGGCTCTGGGGCAAGTGATGCTCTGTCTTCTTGGTGCTTGGGGGGGGGGTCAACAGTGGGAGGGCTTCTAATGTCCTGGCCCCACTGCTGGACCTCCTGATGGCACTGGTATTTCTGGCCACTGTGTGACACAGAGTGTTGGACTGGATGGGCCTTTGGCCTGATCCAACATTGGCGTCTCTTATGTTCTTATGTTCTTATTGCACATGGTCCACACATAGTGTGACTATTAACGCAATATCCTTTCCAGTCCTTGGCCCAATACTTTAAGCCATAGCATCAGCAGTGTCTTACAATTGGCTGCAATGGCAACCAACCAAGCCAGAATATGATCTTAAAGAGTTTCTGCACCATCACCGTAGCCAGGTACAGCACAGCAGCATCAAGCTGCACGGCGCAGAAATGAGCTAAGATCAAGCATGACGGAACAGGAAGTAAGACTATTCATTTCCACAAGATGGCTGAAGGCATTTTGGTCCTTTCAAGGTCTGTTAAAATAGCACAATCATTTGTACCCAACATGTGATGTTTCATAAGTGAAGTGCATCTGAGGGGCAGCGTCACAGGAGGGATCTGAGCCTCCTGCACTGCAGAGCAAGATGTCGTGTGTGCTGCCGTGTGTATTTCTCTGTAGGTATCCAGGTGCAAGTCACTAACCTGAGGTATCAACATTAACAGAGCACAGGTCACAGCACTTGATATGAGGAATGGGATCAATGTATTCCTTCTTCCCAGTCTGTCCATTCCTAGGCAAGCGATGACATATGCAGGAATTTCCACAGCACCTGCCATGAGATAATAAACTTCAAATGTCTTTAAATGCTTGGCATAATTTTGATTTGCTCTCAATAAAACATTTCTGTTTTATTAAAAGATCTGGCCACACATAGTGGCTAAAAGCATTCCTTTGCTCAGAGAAGCCCCTTGTTTGAGTCTTAAATCAGCCATAAATTCACAAGCTCAGCTCTCCTCATCTGCAATATGGGGGTAATAATAATGGTCTGCCTTAGAGTGCTGTACAGATTGCAAAGAAAATGAATGTGAAATACATTCACCACTTAGCTAAAGTGCTATATAGAAACACTAATTACTTAGAACCAATTATCCATGTGTTAAGCAGTTACCTGTACAAAGAAATAAGAGCTGCAGCACTTTAAAGAGGCATATGCTTTCTTTTGCCTCTAAGAAGCATACAATTGTGTCATATGCTTTCATTTGCTAGAGTTAATTTCATCAAAACTAATGAAGAAATACACTAAATGCACACACACAGAAACCCCTTCAGGGTTGCTGGGTAACTGGAACTTTTATGACTACCAGCCCAATCCTAAACTGTCCAAATAATGGATACAAGCCGGTCAAACAAACTGCAATACTCATTTCAACAGAAGTGTCTGATGTGTATGCTTAACTTGGGTTTGGTAGTATTTTAGTTTGGCTGGATTATACCTCAAATGTTTAGGACAAAGAGGTCAGACAACTTCCAGTGGATTTCACACATCTCTTTTAAAAAACTTTTTCAGTCTTGTAAATTACACTTTTACAAATAATGATTGCCAGAACATATTTGATATATATTGCAACAAAAAACTTCTTTGTTAATTTCCTTAAGCAACCCCATAAAATATCAGCTGATAATGCCATTTGGAGAGTATGTGGAAACCCAATCCTGCCTTCTGCTTCAGTTTGTTATGGCACAGATATTTGTGCTACAACAGCATCCTATGCAAAAGCAGTTCAGCCTCTCATAGGTCTTCTGCTCTTGTTACTCTCTCTGTTTGCTAGTATAGGTATACAGCAGTGTTTGATAGCCACGTCTCACTTCCAGGTCCATTAAGATGCTGTCCAAAGGGGAATAGGCAGGCCAGCGCTCTTTACTCTCAAGATCTTTCCACTCTGAGGGGGAAGGATTTGGGAGTGCATAGTGGTGCACAGAGGTACACATTCACAAACCCCTACAGTGTGGAAAGGGATGCTGGTGTGATGTCTTTTGTATGGACAGGTTTCTGAATAATTGTGCATAAAAGCCCTAAGTGAGGCTATCTGAAATATAAATGCCTTGAGCTGTACGGTCAAATGTGCATGTGAAGCACTGCATTTGAAATGGCTGATATACTGCAATTTGCATGGGAGAACTGGGCCTACCTTAGAATTCATTCATGAGCATAACAATCACTAGACATTTATAAAATAAATGGTTGTATTTCTTTTGCAAGTCAATTACATCAAAAAATATTTACCTATAAGGAAAAGATTTAAATATTCATTGCCTCCAAGGTTCACGGAACTGAGGGAGAATACATAATATCCTAAACTCCCAGTGAACCAAACCAGCCAAACTGTAATGGTCCTTCTTGCAATGTGCCAGTTACGAAACAGATCTAAGATGTTGTGCTTCTTCATGGGAAAATGGTTATTATCACCCGTTGTGCTACTGACTAGATCGCCTTGGAGTGAACACAGTTCAGAAATTTTACAAGGGGTGCTTACTTTATTCCACCTTGCCATTATATTAATTACTTTTTGGGCTTCTTCATATCTTCCTTCCGTGAGCAGCCAGAAGGGGGTCTCTGGGAGCATCCAGCAGCACAAGACAAAGGGGACAGTTGTTAAGGAAAGACATATCTGGTACACCCACCAGGTGTCAGCCAAATAGCCTACCAGGGCCACAACCATAATCCCCACAGCAAAAAATGCATGGATATGCATGGATGCCCACGTGCGATACTTTATGCCAACATATTCAGTCACATAAACAAACACTACAACCAGATAACCACTTGAAACCTGAGGGGAAAGAACAGAGAAAGAAAAAAAAATGGTTTAAGTTCATTGTCCTTGTATTACTAGAATAGAAACCAAACATCAGTATTACTAAGCTTGTAAATGTTGAGTGTTTCAAGTTCTGCAATAAGGAATAAGGTGATGATGTAAAAACAAAATGAAGAAACAGTGCTGGAGGGGTGTGTGTACAATCCAGCCAACAGCAGCTGATGTGGCAAAGTGCCTAGAGAGTTAGACTAGAGTCAGGCTCTGATATCCTCTCAAGGTCCAACAAGACATGACTGAGATCACCAATCTGCATTAGTCTGTTAGACTCAAATTACAGCTGCACGTATCCCCCGTCAGATCAGGGCCATAAGGGGGAGGGGGAGTGGTGTTTAACAATTCCAGCCCAACAATGTTTCTCTAATAAAAACTAAGACCAAAAAACTTTTATTAGTCTTTTAAAGGAAGAAAGATTGATTCTCTTCTTTAGCCCACATTTTCCCCATCGATTAGGGCTATAACACTGCTGTGGCTCTACTTGCAACCAGAAAAACAGTACAGAAGTGAACACGTTAACCCCTTTCCCCTCCCTGTGCAGTTCCAGTCTGAAACAAGACACTGCACAGTGGGAAATGCGCTTTAAAAGATCATTGGAAGATCTAGTCCAGTCATGGGTTTTGCAGCATCGCATCTGTTTTGAGTGTTGATTAAGAAACGCCCTGATTGATTTGTGGCCAGTCTTATTTCTCAGACTAGCTTGCCTCACAAAATCATTGTTTAGGGAGGGGAAAAGGGACAATCTCATGTCCACTGCCCTGTCTGCCTGTGTGCATAAAGGTGTAATAAAGCATTAAATATTTAAGCCCCATTTATTTCAAAAGAAAGAGAGATATACTTAACTCTGCAACTGAAATCAGTGGGACCTTGGCTCAACTGTGTCATACACATTAAGGTATATTCTATAGACTTGAGTAAAAGGGGTAGGCAACCATCCACAGATAAAACAAGAAGCAGTTCCTGTGTGTGCAGAGTTGCATATACACAGTGAGGTACATAGATTTAATTTATTTTACAGTACAATCCTAATAGAATTACAATCTGCATACCCTAACTCTATTAAGGATTGCACTGTTAGTCTACTGAATTTAATTTGTTTCAGTCTGCTGAAATCCCACTGATACCTATTTAGCTCAAATACTTTGGCATAGCAGGTTTGGGGACAGCTACCACTTTTGGAAGAATAAGTGAATTCTGTTTTACAAACAATAGAATAAACTTTGGTTCTTACCATTGCAAGGAGGAAACGGACAATCACAAAACTATAGTAGTCAAATGTGAATGCCACTGCAACACCAAATAAGAACTGTCCAGTACTTGTAAACCACATTACATGTCGTCTCCCTGTTCTGTAAAATGCATATAAGACACAACCATAATTGTTGATATGGCAACCACAGATTTAGAAAAGCATTTGCAGTTTAAGGGCTTACATTGCCCTGATTTAATAGAATGTCCCACTGATGCCATAGTTGAAGCTACAGTAGCCTAAAATTGTATGCTTGACATAAAGAATAGAAATAACTGAAAACCACAGTTTAAAACAGATTTAAATTTATCTCTTTTTTCAAAAAGGAAATATTTCAGTGGTTTCTTCTAGTTTGGCATAGAGTCCATAAGATACAATAACTCATGCAGCAAGATTTCTCCATTCTGCACTCATTGCCCCAATACAGCATCCACATAGGAGTTTTCTGCACACTTTCCCCCATCAACTGCCATTTCCCCTGCATTTTTCCATGCCATGCCACCGGAGGGCTTTAAAAATATATATATATTGTTATAGCACTATAGCAATTACCATTTTTTTAAAAAAGCCCCCCCCCCAAGCCTTCTAGTGGTGCAGCAGGGAAAATGACAGCCATGAGGGGCTGATGGAAGAAATGGCACCAATGTGGGCAGGGTCGTTAAAAATTGTGCACCTTCCCATCCAGATGACATGCCAACATCCAGGACTGTGTTCTTTCAGGAGAGATGATAGTAAGCCACATCTGAGAAACTGAATGCCGAGGATGGGGAAAACCTTGAACATGGATAATTAGAGGGCAACACAACGTGTGTGTTCCCAGATTCTGTGGGCTGGATCCAACCAGCTTTTCAACCTGAGAAAAAAGAACGAGAGATCGCCTTTGGCCACCCAAAAAGGCTACACTGGGGATCATGAGACCTGCATGGACAAAAACTATGTGGGATGAGGCCTGTAGTTAGCAGGAGAATTTAGCAAGATCGAGCCAAAATACTTGCTGGATCCAACCCTGTTACTGGAACAGGAACTGTGCACAGCACTGGGTTCTTTATACCTGCATGCCTGGTTTCAGTCGCTAGATTAGGACCGTATGACTGATACAGAACAGATGCTTGGCAGTGTTGTCAGTTCCAACAGCACCTTTGTTTGAAGGGGTGGGGACTGAGTCCAACTCCCCTTTAGCAGCCTCCAACCAGTGCCTTTACCAATAATCTTTTTGGCCCTGTGCTGATCACCAGGTAGACCTTGCAGATTATTGGCACTCAGCACAGAGCACTGGTCACAGGTTTCCACCAAAAGACTTTGATGTCATTGTTGGCAAGGTTTTGTTTGATATTTTCAAAAAATACCTATAGCGATCCAGATATGTGCATTTGCAGCAAGTCAGTGTGGAAACGTTATTACAGCTGCTCTTCCAGCTGGGATTGTGTTTCATGTCCTGTAAACCTTGCCTCTGCCCCATGGAGTCCATGTCAAGAACTACCACAAGAAAAGAGAAAGGGCTGCAGGACCAATACACCAACTTTTTGATGGCTCTTTCTTTTTAAATTTTCTCCATCAGTCCCTTTAGAGGTTGTCCAATAATAGGGAAGTTGTGGAAAGGAAAGAAAGAATTCTGTATTACAACAAAAGCTGAGTGAAGCAAATGAGAGTCTAAGGAAGGATTTGGGCTGAGTCCAATGATTTCCTTTCACTAAGTGAAAGAGTTTCTTCTGTCAAAGGAAGCCTCTCATTTAGCAGACTTCTGTGTGTGCAGAAGAGGAAGTGTAAAGGAACTGAACTCCTCAGCTACTTTTACATTCACTTATTCACTATAATAAAATATTAAATTCAGTCCTTTATTTTTGACTCCACCTGCCATTAGTCCCCAAGCTACTGATTTTATCCATGGCGGGGGTGTCAAACATACAACCCGAGAGCTGGAACTGAGCCATCCAGAGCTCTTATTCGGTCTGTGAGCAACTGGTGCAAGGGAGGGAAGGCAAGAGGCTCCGGGGGGGGGGGGGAGGCACACGTGGTGAGGTGTGTGTGGTCAAAGCTGTCAAGAAATAAAAAGGAAATCGCTAGGAGGAGGACTGTGAGGCTGAGGTAACATAGTGTGGCAGTGAAGGAGGCATGATTTCCCCCCCTCCCATCTCCTCCAACCACAGCTCAGTGAGAATTAAGGAAGCCATGGAGGGGCAGAGCTGAGTGGCCGGTGCTGCCACCATCACACCAAACAGCGACTGGTGAGAGTGGGCGCACAGAGTGGTGGTTTGCTGATGAAGGGATGGGGCCAGCAGGGGAGAGAGGAGGAGGAGGGCTGGCATGTGGATTGGGCGGCAACTGGGCTGTCTTGTGTATGTCACTTGGACCCAATCTGCATCTAGCATTTGCTCTGCTGTTTTACCAAATCCACAGATGCGGCGCAAAACCACATTCAAATACCCCATACTGACTGCAGAGTCACCCCTGAATGTCCATAAAATGGCCATAAATCTATGCAGACAAACCAAGAGATCAAACGAAGTGAAAGCAACTTGCAGTCTGGACACTGCCATATAATCTGACAATCAAAGTGAAAGTGGCATGCGATGTAGAGGGGAATTTCTGTTCCAGGGTGGGTTTGGTAAGACAGCGGATCAAATGCTAGATGCAGATTGGGCCTCTGAGTGAAAAGGCATCCTAGTCTCAGAAGCAAAGAGAGAAAGGTAAGAGGGAAGGGAAAAGGCAGAGTGGGTGCTGAGGAGAGTGGGGGTCGGCAACCTCCCTTCCCCTCACACCTGTTCTCAGCCCATTAAGGAAAAGGGGTAATTGGAGGGCAAAAAGCTCCCCTTGGAGGTTTCAGAAGCAGCCTCTCCATCAGGCATTCCCCTCAGCCCCACTACTTCTGAGGGAAATGCAGGAGGGATGAGAACTGGGGGAGGGGGGATCTGGGAGAGCCAGGTTCAGATGCCCCCTCCTCCTGAGCCAGGAACCTGTTGTCTGGGTCACCCAGCCTGATCACTCATCCTGGACCACCCCACAGGGTTGTTGTTGTTGGGGAGATGGGGGGTTGGGGGGAGTGTATGGGTGTATGCAGGATAGTGCTAAAAAACTACATTATTTACTTGCAAGGAAGATGATTCATTTTCTAAAAGTGCCATATTTACAAAAAATAGCTAATTTGTATGGAAATGTAAGTCTTTATGGTATCACTTGGAAAAAACCTAGTCTTGCATATATCACTACAGCTTTTTTAAAAAGTAAGTATCCAACCCTTTTAGTTGAGGAGTTATAATCAGAAACACATGGACTTAATATTTCTCTTTATAACTCCACAACCGAAAGGGCTAGAGACTTGCTTTAAAAAAAAAAAATTAAAGCTTGGAACAAGTACATTGTTGCAGTGCTTTAACACCATAGAGATACAGTTACTGCCCTTTGAGAGGGGACTGGCAACTATAGGAGCTGAGGTAATGGAAATGGTCCTGATATAAGCAGAATTCGCAAAAAATGCACACCTTTCTAATCACACTACATATAAAGGTGCTTTGATTGGGATCTTTTCAAATAGATCATTCCAAACCAGGTTTGGGAAAGATAACAGCAAAGCAAGGGAAAACACAGAAACAGGGCAAACAAAGGATGTTAGGTGGATGTTCCTGAAACAGCACTGCTAAACACTTAATTTTTTCAATGTATATTGTTTAGAAAAACTCTAGAATATATTTTAAAAATATATAATGGCGATGAGCTAAAGAGGCTCATCAGTTTTTACCTTGGGGACACAACTACGTTGCCCTGCTAGATGAGAAGGGACATGCTGTCCATAAACAACATAGAAAAAGCTAAAATCAGCATGCTGAATGGAAAAGAAAACAACAACATCCTGGTAGAGAAAACAATATTGTTATGAAGCAGCCCCTTTCTGTATTGCATGATAGTGGAATGTGCTGCTTCACAGTAGTCTGAAAAATGAAAACCTGTTGGCCTGTTTTGACTGAGCACAAAGGTATGGGGCCTTGTCTGTTTTACTGCCTGAAGATATACAGTGAAGAAAGCATGGAAGAACTGAAGACACACTGAAAGAAGAAAGATGGGGCAACGTAACATACTATATTCACCTAAATAATATTAAATATGCCAACAATGCAGAATTATTATTCAGGATGGTGAAAAGCAGATTATGATGGATTTCAAATAGATGTCTCCCAATTGAATGAATAAGTAACATAATGCCATATGAGATTCAGTGAAAGTGTCAAGTGATGCATAACGGCATAAAATACTCACTAACCACATATACTCACAGAGTCAGAATTAGTTGTGGCTCTTCAGGTATTTGGGTATAGGTGGCTTGCTCACCAAAAATGTCAACTTATTATGTAGCACCAGAGATCAGGGCAGATGCCATTAAAGACTATTACAGTACAGACACAAGACAGTAATTCTCCACATACTGCATGATTAACTTACGGAATGCCACAGAAGGTGGTGATAGAAACTAACTGGCATAGACAGATTCACAGAGGACAGATTTATCAATGGCTAGTGACCATGACTAATGGCTAGAACCTCCATGTTCAAAGTTCACCGATACTGGGAACAGTCAACTAAGAAAGGTTCTGGTCTTCACATGCTTCTCAAAAGGCTGACCACTGTTGGAAAACAAATACTGGACTCCGTGAATCTTTAGGCTGATATAGCAAGAGTGCTCTTATTTTCATCTGGAGTCCCAGAAGTCTTGGATGGGTGGAAGTCAAAAAAAGGAGTAGCTGAGAGATAAAGGTGCGAAGGAAAAAAGTCTACGTGCAGAGAGGGAAGGAAGAGAAAGGGAACAAACAGAGAAACAAGAAAGGTGAAGAGGACCAAAAAAAGTAAAGATTTAACAGATAATTGGTTAAAAGAAAGAACTGAGTTTCAGGTGTATCAGAAATGTTTCCACTATGGAAAGGAAGGCTGATGCTTCAAAGGGATTGGATATACTTGTGATGGATGGAGTAGAGTGGACATTTGCAGAGAAGGCTGAGAGCTCATGGACTCAGCCTTGTTGTTTGAAAAGAAGGTTACTGGAGTGACCAAGAGTGCCACCTGTGAGCTGTATTTGGTTCACCAGCTCTCTCATTTCTTAGACCGCTGATCTGGCCACTCTGACCCATTCTTTTGTAACCTCAGAGCTGGATTGTTTATTTTATTTAGTTAGTTAAAACATTTTAATGCTGCCTTTCTATCCAATCAGGGTCCACAAGGCAGTGAACATAAATACATTAAAATGTTTAAATAATTCAAAATGCAGCTAACATTATAAAAGTAAATTAAAAACACATAATCGTTACTGTATTGTATATTATATTGTTTTGCCTTTTAAGACATCCTAGAAATTGCACCAGTTCAAAATGTAGCAGCCCAACTATTATCGGGAGCTAATTGTTTAAAAACAGCTACATTGGCTCCCAGTATGCTTCCAAATTCAGTGCAAGGTATCAAGGTGCTAGATGAATGTGCTTCCAAGATTGATTTTTTTGTTTCAAACAATACCAGTTCTTCAAAATCAACAGTATTTTAAAGAACTTGACAAAGTAATGTCACAATTTATATGGCAGAAAACCAATAAAATGAAAGCTTTACAAGATACCAAAGAAAGAGCTGGATTGGCACCATCAGACTGGCTTTTATACTATAGATCAGCAGCACTGATGTGGTTAAAAGAATGGATCACGTTAGAAAACACTAGGCTATTAGCTTTAGAGGGACACGATCTGCTATTGGGTTGGCATGCATTTATGTGGTATGGAAAATCAGATATACACAACTATTTTAAACAACATCTGATTAAGAAATATTTATTGATGGTATGGGAAAGTATTAAAAGATTATTTTACACTAAGATACCCAAATGGGTTTCACCACTTGAAGCTTTTACAAATCCTAACTTACTGCAAAAAATATGTTGTTGAGATATGAGGATTTGTTGGACAATAAAAATGGTTTAAAATCAACAGAAAAACTTAAAGAACAAGAGATTAATAGAGGTTGGTGGAAAAGGATACTAATAGAGTCGAGATTTGCTAAAGATAAGCCATTGGGTTTTTATACAAACATAATGGAAATGGATAAGGTATTGTTACATGCTGATGATTAACTGATTAAGAAATTGTATAAAATAATGTTAGAAGATAAAACACAAGATGAAATAGTTAAAAACTGTATGGTCAAATGGGTACAAAATCTGGGTCATAAATATTGATTTAGACCAATAGTTACGTGTATGGAAAACAAATGTAAAGATTACAGAAGCGACTTCATACAAGGAAAATATATACAAAGTGTTTTATAAATGGTATATTAGTCCATATAAACTAGCTAAGTTTTACCCTGACTTACCTAATGATTGTTGGAAATGTAAAAGCAATGTTGGTTCATTTGTCCATATGCAGTGGACATGTAATAAAGTTTAAAAATATTGGAGTTGGATACATGAACTTTTGCGAAAAGTGTTAAAAATTACTGTGCTTTTTACACCAGAATTGTTTTTATTGAATATATCGCCGGAGAAATATAAAAAAATAAGATTTTTATCTTACTATACATATTATGACAGTGGCAAGAATACTATATGCTAAACACTGGAGAAGAAGTGAAGTTCCTTCAAAGGAAGAAGTTATAACAAAGATATTGGAAACAGCAGAGATGGACAACTTAACTTTGATCTTGAGAGGAAATAGCAAAGAAGATTTTGAGGACACATGGTCAAGATGTTATAAATGGATAGAAGAGCATAACATATAAAATCCCTAGACTTACAACCGAAGTAAAAATAAATAAGATCTATATACCTAACTATGAGCAAAATGTGTATATTAAAACTATAAGGTGGAAAAAAGAAATTAACTCTTTGGTTACAGTATGAGGTCAAATAATTATGGTTTTTTTTAAAAAAAAACCGATACAATGAATCTTCCCCAAATGTTTATCTATGTATGTTTGTTTCTTGTTTGTCTTATATGTATGAAATAAAAAACTTTTTTAAAAAAAAGGTGCTAGTTATGACCAATGCTCCCTCTAAGCTGTGGAGTCTTGTGAGCAAAAATTCTACTTTGTGAGCTACTGGCATTAAAGCTGTGAGCGAGCGATTTGGCTACTGAATACATTAGTTTGCTCTGGAGCCATCTTTCCTGAGATGAGACAGAAAATGGGTGAGCCGGAGGCTAAAAAACTGTGAGCTAGCTCACACTAACTCAGCTTAGAGGGAACACTGGTTATGACCTTTAAAGCCTTTCACAGCTTAGGACCCACATCTCTAAAGACAGCCTCTTCCCCCTGTTTTCCTGTGTGCCAAGCCAACTACAGCCCTCAGGATGCCACCTACTGGCTGTTCCTCCACTTGAGGTAGCCTGTATGGTGTCAAGCACAGCTTGCTTTTTCCCTGTTGTAACTCCTACTCCCTGGACCACCATCTCTAGTAATGTGTAAGAGGTGCTGAAAGGCCATTTTCATTGCTAGAGCTTTTAATGGGGTGTATGCTGCAGGCATTTTAGGGGAGTGGGTTGTTTGGGGTTTAAGAAGCAACTGCTTGACCCAAATGAGATGGAACTACCTGACCTGGCAGGCGCTCCAGGGTCAGGGGCTAGGTGGCATGGTGTCCATTCATTCAGGGTCCATTCATATATGAGGCTATCCCAAGGCCACTCAGTGAACTTCTCTGGTGAGTGGAGATCCAAATCCAAGTCTCCATACTAGATCAGGCAAATTCAGTACTATACCTGTCTGCAATGTCTCCAAAAATCACAGCTCCAAAAAGGACTCCCAGCATGAATGTGGGCTGTGTTAGTTTTGCGAGCCATTCCCGCTGACAGACTAAATCCCACTCTGTGACAATGGTGCTCTGCCATTTGGTCCGGTCATAGATGAATCCATCAGTACATGTAAAATCAGTCTTGTTGCCACTGTATTCATAAGTGAAATCCAAGGGATCTGCTCGTCTAGACCTGCTACACTGATTAAGTTCCCAAACTTCTCCATTCTCCAGATGGACCAACATATAACTTTGTGTTGATGTCCACAGTGTCCAGGCATCCTCTATTCTTGAAACAGATGAATTGTAAATCAGAACACTGCTCACATTTCCAAGGACACCACATACAAATTTTGGTGTAACAGCCAAGAAGACAGAAGCTAAGTAGTGGATGCCACAAGAGATAGACTGAAATGCAGCTGCCAAATAAATCCATGCCTGGTATCTGAAAATGAAAAGATCATTCATTATAATTATAGATACCATTTAAATCACACTGTTGTACTCTACATTTACATATTTGTATATGAGAAAATCCCTTCCCCCCCCAAATACCTGAGAAATAGCTATATCTGGTGCAGCAAAAACAAAAAAAGGGTTTTATGACACTTTAAAGACAAATATATGTACTGTGGCACAAACTTTAATGGACTACAGTCCACTGCATCAGGTATATGAAATATGTTCTAGGTCAGCAGATTATACACAAGAATAGAGGCAAAAAGAAGAATGGTAACAGTGGAACCCAAAGGCAATGAAATACAAGAAGTACAGACTGTGACAGCTCTTATACAAAACTAATATATATTTAAATAAAACACAGTAACTGTTCACAGGAGCAGCAACACAGTCATTCTAGAGTTGCTAAGTTGATTTAATACTTGTAATGTGAGGGGAGTCTAATCACAATTGAGCCCTAACTGGACAGGGTCGAGCTTTCTGATGAATTCTAATTTATCACACTGGAATCTCCCAGAATGACATAAAGTACAACTGAAAAACTGCAATCTGCATCTTGTGAAGCAAGAAGCAAAACTCATATTAGTTTTAATGAATCCAGTTTGCCTTTGTGCATAATTTTAAATCAACTCTTTCTTTTCTACATCAGCATTTGCAAGGACACCATCCAAAGCAAAAAGGTATTTTATGGGTGCTTTATGAAAGTGCTTTATGATTAATATGGGTTGGATTCACTGAAAGAGTTAGGGCTGCCAACTGGGGGCAGGGAAACCCCCACTTTGGAGGCCCGATTTCCGCCGCCGCAGAATCGGGCCTCGGGGGGAACTCCGCCCCCCGAAGCGCAGCGTGGCTGCGTCACCGGAGGTGGCGCAGCCACGTCGCTCACATTGGGGGCGTGGCCCAGATCGTCGGAGGGAAAACTCTATGGTTTTCCCTCTGATGATCTGGGGCACGCCCTCAACGTGAGTGACGTAGCACGTCACTTCCTGTGATGTGCTGGTGGCGCGTGTGCGCTTTGCACACGCGCGCATGCACCAACGAGGAACTCCCGGAGCCCGGCGAGGCTCCCCCGCTGCCAAGGTAAGAAGACTTGGCAACCCTAGAAAGAGTTCATGGAAGAAGCTGACAGAGTGGAACTTTCCTCAATGGCAGTCTGCCATTCCTCCTGAAACTCCTCTTTGAGGATCAAGAGAGCCCAGCCAGCAAAATGCACCACAGGGTGGGGGGGGGGGCAGCAAAGAGGGAATCAGGCAAAAAGTCAAGCAGCAGGCTGCTTGGGGAAAAGGAAGGCAGGGAAAGGTCAATTCTGTCAAAACTTCTGTGAACTCTTCTGGGGGATCCAATTCTATAGGCCTACACACACACACACACACACACACACACACACAACAGATAGCTGGATAAACAGGATCAGCATTTAAGAGACGTCACTCAGGAAAAAAGGTGACTGCAACTGAAACACCTGGATTCAAATCCCCTCAGCCATGCTATATATTTACAAATATTAAATAAGAAAAATAAAATATAAGCTTGCTACGTGTTTTAGCCCCCTCATGGATCACTGCCTTGTCATGGCGAGGGGGCTTGCGTGGTTCGATGAGGCTGTGGGCTATGCTGTGGAGGGCCACCCAAGACAGACAGGCCACAGCAGAGAACTCAGACCAAGCGTCATCCCCTGGAGAAAGAAATGGCAACCCAATCCAGTATTTTGCCAAGAAAGCCCCATGGACAGTATCAAAAGGCTAAAAGATATGACGCCGGAAGATGAACCCCTCAGGTCGGAAGGTGTCCAATATGCTACTGGGGAAGAGCAGAGGGCAAGTACGAGTAACTCCAGAAAGAGTGAAGCGGCTGGGCCAAAGCCAAAGGGACGCTCAGCTGTGGATGTGTCTGATGGTGAAAGGAAAGTCTGATGCTGCAAAGAATAATACTGCATAGGAACCTGGAATGTAAGAGCTATGAATCAAGGTAAGCTTGAGGTGGTCAAAAATGAGATGGCAAGACTGAACATCGATATCTTAGGAATCAGTGAACTTAAGTGGACAGGAATGGGCGAATTTAACTCAGAAGACCATTATATTTACTACTGTGGCCAGGAATCTCGTAGAGAAAATGGTGTGGCCTTCATAGTCAACAAGAGAGTGCAAAAGTCAGTATTGGGATACAATCTCAAAAATGACAGAATGATTTCAGTCCGATTCCAAGGCAAACCATTCAACATCACTGTAAGCCAAGTCTATGCCCCAACCACTGATGCAAAAGAGGCTGAAGTGGACCGTTTCTATGAAGACCTACAACACCTCCTAGAACTAACACCAAAAAATGATGTCCTCATCATCATAGGGGACTGGAACGCTAAAGTAGGAAGTCAAAAGGTAACTGCAATAACAGACAAGTTTGGCCTTGGAAAGCAAAATGAAGCAGGGCAAAGGTTAACAGTTTTGTCAAGAGAACACACTGGTCATAGCGAACACCCTTTTCCAACAACCTAAGAGGCGACTCTACACATGGACATCACCAGATGGGCAACACCGAAATCAGATTGACTATATAATTTGCAGTCAAAGATGGAGAAGCTCTATCCAGTCAGTAAAAACAAGACCTGGAGCTGACTGTGGCTCAGATCATGAGCTACTCATTGCAAAATTCAGACTTAAACTGAAGAAAATCGGGAAAACCACGAGGCCATTCAGGTTTGACCTAGATCGCATCCCTGATGAATATACAGTAGAGGTGAAGAATAGATTCAAGGGTCTGGATTTGATAGATAGAGTGCCTGAAGAACTATGGACAGAGGTTCGTGACATCGTACAGGAGGCAGCAATCACCACCATACCAAAGAAAAAGAAATGCAAGAAAGCAAAATGGCTTTCTGATGAGGCTTTACAAATAGCAGAGGAAAGAAGGAAAGCGAAAGGCAAAGGCGAAAAGGAAAGATTTACCCAACTGAACGCAGATTTCCAGAGAACAGCAAGGAGAGATAAGGAGGCCTTCCTGAATGAACAGTGCAAAGTAATAGAAGAAAACAATAGAATGGGAAGGACTAGAGATCTCTTCAAGAAAATTGGAGAAATCAAGGGAGCGTTCCATGCAAAGCTGGCCATGATAAAGGACAAAAACGGTAGGGACCTAACAGAAGCAGAAGAGATTAGGAAAAGATGGCAAGAATACACAGAAGAACTATACAAGAAAGACCTCAATGTCCTTGACAAACACGACGGTATAATCACTGACCTTGAGCCAGACATCCTGGAATGTGAAGTTAAATGGGCCTTAGAAAGCATTGCTAACAACAAAGCTAGTGGAGGTGATGGTATTCCAGCTGAGCTATTCAAAGTCTTAGAAGATGATGCTGTTAAAGTGCTGCACTCCATTTGCCAGCAAATTTGGAAAACGCAACAGTGGCCACAGGATTGGAAAAGATCAGTATACATTCCAATCCCAAAGAAGGGCAACGCCAAGGAATGTTCAAACTATCGCACAATTGCACTCATATCACACGCTAGCAAGGTCATGCTCAAGATCCTACAAGCTAGGCTTCAACAGTACGTGGATAGAGAACTACCAGAAGTACAAGCTGGGTTTCGAAGAGGTAGAGGAACGAGAGATCATATTGCCAACATTCGCTGGATTATGGAGAAAGCAAGAGAGTACCAGAAAAATATCTACTTCTGCTTCATTGACTATGCTAAAGCCTTTGACTGTGTGGATCACAACAAACTATGGCAGGTCCTTAAAGAGATGGGAGTACCAGACCACCTCACATGTCTCTTGAGAAACCTGTATAAGGGCCAAGAAGCGACAGTTAGAACCGGATACGGAACAACTGATTGGTTCAGCATAGGAAAAGGAGTACGACAAGGATGTATACTGTCACCTTGCTTATTTAATATATATGCAGAGTACATCATGCGAAATGCTGGCCTGGATGAATCACAAGCGGGAATTAAGATTGCTGGGGAAAAGATCAACAACCTCAGATATGCAGATGATACCACTCTAATGGCTGAAAGTGAAGAGGACCTAAAGAGCCTCTTGCTCAGAGTAAAAGAGGAGAGCGCAAAAGTGGGCTTGAAGCTCAACATCAAAAAAACTAAGATCATGGCATCCGGCCCCATCACTCCTTGGCAAATAGAAGGGGAAGCTGTGGAAGTAGTGACAGACTTCACGTTCCTGGGATCTCAGATCACAGCAGACTGTGACAGCAGCCATGAAATTAAAAGACGCCTGCTCCTTGGGAGGAAAGCGATGGCAAACAGCATGATAAAAAGTAGAGACATCACCCTGCCAACAAAAGTCCGCATGGTCAAAGCAATGGTATTCTCAGTAGTCATGTATGGCTGCGAGAGTTGGACTATAAGGAAGGCCGAGCGCCGAAGAATAGATTCTTTTGAACTATGGTGCTGGAGAAGACTCTTGAGAGTCCCTTGGACTGCAAAAAGATCAAATCAGTCAATCCTACAAGAAATCAACCCTGACTGTTCCCTGGAAGGCCAGATAATGAAACTGAAGCTCAAATACTTTGGCCACCAAATGAGAAGGGAGCACTCACTGGAGAAGACCCTGATGCTGGGAAAGATTGAAGGTCAAAGAAGACGGGGACGGCAAAGGATGAGATGGTTAGACAGTGTCATAGATGCAACGAAAATGAAGTTGAGCCAACTTCAGAGGACGGCCGAAGACCGGAAGGCCTGGCGTGATCTGGTCTATAGGGTCGCAAAGAGTTGGACTCGACTGTGCAACTGAACAACAACAACGTGTTTTAGAAAAGTAGACCAACGTATATTGGCAAATGAGTCCCAAAAGTACACAAGTTTAAGAATTGGTCCCATGTCAACAAATTTGAGAACCACTGGTCAGTCTAGAGCTTACTTGGTAGAACACCACGATCCTATAAAGTTTCTTGCATATGCTTAGCAATAACAATGCACAGGCATTTCCTTCCAAGTAAGACTAAGAGATCCTAGGAGGGGCCATTATTTACTA